TTTTTTTTTATTTATTTTGGAGACAGGATCTCACTGTGTAGCCCTGGTTAGCCTGGAATTCAGTTTGTAGTCCTAGCTGGGCTAGAAGGCAAAGATCTGAGTTCCGAGGGCTGGGATTAAAGGCCTGTGCCACCATGCCCAGCCATAGCCATCTCTTAATAGACCTAACCAACAAGTGGAACATGAGGGGTGCAGAGACACATTCTCAGGGGGGTTTGGACAGACAGGTACTTAGTGTGGAGAGGCAGGAACAGGCCACAGCCCACATTCATGAACACATGAGCACCGTGACAAGCTGTAGCAAGTGATGCAGCCTGTTCATGAACCGCAGAGGGCTCATGCTCTCTCACGTACACATACAGCCAGCCATAGACCACATTAACACCACACAAAAGTCACACAGACCAGCCAGTCTTCGCTCTCTCTGCTCTCATTCTCATAAGCACATGCACACACATGGACCACGAAAACCAGACATAAGGTGTGCTCCTTCTTCCCCCGTCCCCGTCCACGTTTGGAGTGCATATGGAGACGTGGCTGGAGGACAGTAACAGGCCATACACACAGGCCAGCCATATAACCACACACAAACATTTCACACACATCAGGCAAAACATGTACCTTGTGCACACATACCAGACACAAATATGTTAGCCATATGCACGGTTAGAACAACACCATGTATAGCCCACCCAATAGGACACACACACACAAAGCAGAACTCAACTCTCACAAACAGGCCCACACCCCCTACAGGGTTGGACCAACACGTAGGCAGAAGCCCTGAGCAGGCCTCATGTACTCACACAGGCCCTAACAGGCCAGCCACACTTGCCCACCCCCCCACCCCCGCCCTCCATACACCCTTTGTGGGGCCCAGAGATCCCGGCACTTCCTCTCCCAACATCACCCCTACTTCCCCGCTGCTCTCCCGCTTCCTCTGCTGGGCAGGCTCAGTTGTTTTCTACTGATATCTCTCTTAAAGGGGACACCTTGGAGCTCGGGCCTCCAAGTCTTTGGCAGCTGGTGGGAAACTCCCTCTGGGCCCAGTTGAATCAGTGTGAGGATAGAGCACGTTTCCAAGAAGACCCAGCAACTTCCTCTCCAGATGAGGGGTGAAGGACCCCTAAAACCACAGAAGTGGGGGTGGGTGGCTGGCAGGCTGGGGCTTCCTAGACTTCTGGGATTGATTCTTAGCTTCTGGCCCAACCACCAGTCCACACCCAGGGGCAGGGACTGGAGACTGGGTGCTCTGACTTGCGGGTTCCTGCCCCAGCCTGCCCACTGGATGACTCATTAGGCAGCCCCCAGCCCAGTTTCCTGGTGGCAATCGTGGCACTGGTCAGTGGGGCCACGGAGGAGAATGGTCACCAAACTATTTATAAGAAGGAGAAGTCCGTGATGCCAAGACCAAAAGCCCCAGAGACCTGTGGGTGGGTGGGGGTGAACTTCCTCCCTATCTTGAATGGTAGCCCCTGGTCCCAGACCCTGGGATATGGGGAAACCTGGCAAAGACCAGGGTGCTGATGTGTAGCCCAGGCAGTGTGGGGGAGGGGACTGTCTTCACACCCTCCACACTGGGCAGGCCTGGCGCCAGCAGGGCTACTTGAGGAGGTGGCGCCCAGGCCACAAGAGTGAGAATGGTAGGGGCCTGAAACCGGCTGGACCAGCTGGGCCGGCTCTGCCCTCCCTGGCTTGTGTCTTCCCCACCCTTGCAAACACCCATGCAGAAAGTGTGAAGACCCCACAGTGGCATCATTGCCAGTATCGATTTTCTGTGCCCAACTCTACTTCTCCCTCTAGGGGGGAGGGGAAGAAAAAATAGACCTTTTGCAAAAAAAAAAAAAAAAAAAAAAAAAAAACCCACTCAGCTTTGTATGTCGCCAGTACTGCATAAATGCCCGTTGCACCATTCAGGAGGTCGAGAGCTCTGATTTTATACAGCTCTGACTGAGTACCAAGTCTAGAACTTCTTGCTCTGAGACAGGATTAAAGGCCCTTCATTTCCGTGCCTCAACTTCTCATTTGTTAGATGGAAATACACACACCATGAAACTGCCTGGATCATTGGAAGTAGCCAACGACGGACTTTATGTAAGCCACTTTAGAACAGTGTCTGGCCCACAGTAGGGACCATATAAGTGTTAGCTATTAAAATAATAATTACTATTTCTCAGACAGACTGTCTGCCTGTCTTAAGTATCTCCCAGTCTCCATGTCTGCAGAAGACCAACCTGGCCCCCTCTGTCTCTCTGGGTGTCTCCCCTTGTCTTGCCTCCTTGCCCCCAGCCACCCACTCTCTTCCCTTTCGACCCTCCTTGGGCAGACCTGGCCTCTCTCCAGGACTTTGCTCTGGCCTAGCCAGCTCAGCTGTGGCATGGTGAGTCAGTGTGGCCTCCTGGCCAGTGGGACAGGCAGGTTGGCTTCCCAACATGTTGCCCTCTGTTCTACCCTGGCCCCAACGCTGCGGCCAGTACCCCCTCAGGCCAGGCCACATGTCAGCTGCAGTTATTAGCATGGGCAAGAGACACAGGCCTGGCAGCATGCCCGCAGACTCAGCGGCTTCTGGAATCTCCCTTGAGACTGTGGTGGGGGAGGGGAGCTCTTCAAACAAGGGCAAGATGGGAGGGAGCACTAAAGGGTCACAAGGATCCTTCAAAGACTGGGATGTCCCCAGCTCCTTCCTCTCTAATGCCCCTACTCTGTTGGACTTCCCCTGTGTCCTTCATAGCTGTTTCTCTTTTGCCTCTTTCGATTTCCTTCTCTGTGCCATACTAGGTAAGTGCTGACTCTTCTACTTACCCCTTGCCCTTAAGCTTCTCCCCAAAGAAGCCTCCTTTATCTTACCAGAGACCTGAGAGCCTGAGGAAGGAAGAGACTGGACTCTCACCCGTCCCTCTGGTGGCTCCTACACTAGGTGAAGTTCCACCTACCTAACTGGAAGTCTTGCTATTTAAACCTGTCCTTTGCCATTGCTGGGCAAGGGCCTGTGGGTTCTTCCTTTTTTTTTTTTTTTTCTTTGTGATATTTGCCCTTTTACTTGGGTGGGAAGAAGGTCCACAGATAAGGGAGACACCTTAGTAAGGGGAGGTGACATTCTTTTAGGTATTCTGCGTAGTGAAAGGTACCTCACCCCCGACTGAAATGGAAGTACAGATGAGAAGAGTATCAAAAGAAACGAATGGGGAAAGGGGACCCTAGAGCTTCTGGCAGAAGGGAAGGGCACATACCCAGGGGAGGAGGCAGCCCTGTACCAGCCTGCCCAGGCGCCGGGGCTGCCTGAAAGCACCATCCCGCCCCCTCCGCGCCCTGACGGGCCGGGGGCAAAGTCCGACCCAGGCCCGCGGGCAGGCGGGGACCTGCCAGGCTGGGTCCGACCAGGCCGGGCGGGACAGGACTCAGCCCCAGAGTTGTTCCGAGGGGCTGGGCCAGGCCGCCGGGGGGCGGAGGAGGGGGGCCCGGGGGTGGCGGTCGAGGCTGGTCCGGACTAGCCGTCCGGGGGCCTGGGCGCGCCCTGGGACCTGGCAGCTACCTCGGGTTCCTGGCTCCTACTTTGCCGCCCCAAGACTGCACTGGTCCCACCTCTTCCTGTGCCCTAATATGGATGGTGGGGAGAAATTCAGGGGGCTGCCCCGCCCCCATCTAATTCGCGGACTCCAGCCTGTTGCCTTGGTGACGAGGCCCCGCTCCCAGGCTGCACCCCCCTCCAGCAGGTCAATGGAACTGTCCTCGAGCTGCCGGGCTCAGTAGTCACCGGTAGTTGCAGGCCGAACCATTACTAGATGGGGGAGAACAGACTGTGACTAGAGGCATCTGTCGCGGTGACTTCCTCAGGGGTCGCCTGCTCGGGTACCTTTTCCCAGGCGCAGAATTTGGCGGGGCCCAGGGCAGGGCGCACCGTCCCCTAGGCTCACAATGACGAGACAGGGCCGGGCTCTTTCCCCTCGGGGCTGTTGCCACACTTCCTGCCTCGGCTCTCTTTCCCTAGCCTGTTTCTAAGGAAGGGAGTGGGGTTGGGCGACCGCGCCCCAGCTCTCCCGCCCCGTCGGCCCTCCAAAAGCTGACAGGATATCGGGCGAGCCCAGGGTGACTAAGGGAGGGCTTTGGGTTAAGGTAAAGGGTATGCAAGTGCCTAGAGACCACTCACGAGGTACAACCCCTTTGGTAAAAGTCCCTCATGGCTGGGATCCTCCGAGTCATCTTCTCTCTCAGGCAGATCTCAGATGGCCTCCGGTCGTCACATTTATAGCTTAGACCTTTTAAACGCTCCATCAGATTTCTGCAAGTGACCACAGGGACCCCCAACCTCTGGTACATAGGTTCCCATCTTTCACTCCTTCTATTCCACGTTCCCAGGATCCTTGATCACGCTCTGCATATCTAAACTGCCCTCTCCGAAATTCCTTCCCTTTTCCACGTATGGGAGAACCCTCAGCCTCATCTACAGACTCCAGAACCCCTACTCTTTTCTTGTACAATAGCTACCCGAGCCCCGCTTCCTGACCCCTTCCTCCCACCTGTGACAGCTCCAGCCCTTCGAGCCCTTTGAACCGGGGACCATGGTTATTTCCTAGGTCAAAGGTTTACAATTCCTCCCTGTTGGTCCCTTCCCTGTTTCCTGGGGTCTTCTAGTGTATTGTCAGTCCCCAAGCCACAGCTACTCTGGGTCCCGCGAGACTTTTCCGGGTATATCCCGAGGCACTCCCTCTTCACTAGCTGTGTATATCCAACTGGGTGTACTCCCGCAGCGCTAGCCCCTGCGTGCCTCGGCCCCTCAGCATCCCTTCGCTTGAGTGTCTCCGTCGCCCCTCCCCCTGCAGCCGCGCAGAGCCACCCGGCTCGTGGCCGCTGTTTACAAGGACACGCGCTTCCTGACAGTGACGCGAGCCGCCTCCTCCCCTTCCCCACGCTCTAGGAGGGGGCCGCGGGGGCCTGGCTCCCGCGTCGGCCAATCGGAGCGCACTTCCGCAGCTGACAAATTCAGTATAAAAGCTTGGGGCTGGGGCCGAGCGGTGGGGACCTTGAGGGTGGCCAGGCCAGCTTTGGATCCTGCGGGGAGCGGGGAGCTGAGGGGAGCGACGCCGAGGAGCGGGCGCACCACGGAGGGCGAGACAAGCTCCGGAAGCCCGGCAGCGCTTTCTCGCACAGCTGCCAACTGGCCGCTGCCGACGGTCTCCAGCTCCCGAGGACGCGCGACCGGACACCGAGCCCCGCCGCAGCCGAGGACAGCTCGCCGCTCGCCGCAGCGAGGCCCGGGGCGGCCCTTCAGGGGGACCTTTCCCAGACCGCCCGGGCCGCCCGGATGTGCACGAAAATGGAACAGCCTTTCTATCACGACGACTCATACGCAGCGGCGGGATACGGTCGGACCCCTGGCAGTCTGTCTCTACACGACTACAAACTCCTGAAACCCACCTTGGCGCTCAACCTGGCGGATCCCTACCGGGGTCTCAAGGGCCCCGGAGCGCGCGGTCCAGGCCCAGAGGGCAGTGGGGCGAGCGGCTTCTTTTCGGGTCAGGGTTCAGACACGGGCGCATCTCTGAAGCTAGCCTCCACCGAGCTGGAGCGCTTGATCGTCCCCAACAGCAACGGCGTGATCACGACGACGCCCACGCCTCCGGGACAGTACTTCTACCCCCGTGGGGGTGGCAGCGGTGGAGGTACAGGGGGCGGCGTCACCGAGGAGCAGGAGGGCTTTGCGGACGGCTTTGTCAAAGCCCTGGACGACCTGCACAAGATGAACCACGTGACGCCCCCCAACGTGTCCCTGGGCGCCAGCGGGGGTCCCCAGGCCGGGCCCGGGGGCGTCTACGCCGGTCCGGAGCCGCCTCCCGTCTACACCAACCTCAGCAGTTACTCCCCCGCCTCTGCACCCTCTGGGGGCTCCGGGACTGCCGTCGGGACGGGCAGCTCGTACCCGACGGCCACCATCAGCTACCTCCCACATGCGCCCCCCTTTGCGGGCGGCCACCCGGCGCAGCTCGGCCTGAGCCGCGGCGCTTCCGCCTTCAAGGAGGAACCGCAGACCGTGCCGGAGGCACGCAGCCGCGACGCCACGCCGCCCGTGTCCCCCATCAACATGGAAGACCAGGAGCGCATCAAAGTGGAGCGAAAGCGGCTGCGGAACAGGCTGGCGGCCACCAAGTGCCGGAAGCGGAAGCTGGAGCGCATCGCGCGCCTGGAGGACAAGGTGAAGACGCTCAAGGCCGAGAACGCGGGGCTGTCGAGTACGGCCGGCGTCCTGCGGGAGCAAGTGGCCCAGCTCAAGCAGAAGGTCATGACCCACGTCAGCAACGGCTGCCAGCTGCTGCTGGGGGTCAAGGGACACGCCTTCTGAGCGCGCCCCTCACACGGACACCCCGGCCTGGGAGGCTGGGCGCCCGCCCCCGCCGGGTGAGGCGGCAGGCCGCAGGCCCTCCCCGGAGGCCTGGGGCGCCGCGCACACACTGGACTCCGGCCCGCCCGCCCGCGCCCGGCCCTTTCACCTCGACGTTTACATGGCTCCCTTCCGGCGTATTTTGTATGGTTTTTTTTTTTTTTTCTGGAGAGAGACTGAATTCATATTGAATATAATATATTTGTGTATTTAACAGAGAGGGGAGAAGGGGGCTATCGCGGCGGAGCTGGCCCCGCCGCCTGGTACTCAGCCTGCCGGGACACTGGGGAGGGACCTCCGCCCCCTGCCCTCCCCCTCTGCACAGTACTGTGGAGAAGAAACACGCACTTCGTGTCTAGAGTCTATTTTAAGATGTGTTTGTGTGTGTGTGTTTGACTTTTTATTGAATCTATTTAAGTAAAAAAAAAAATTGTCTTTATTAATTTCTGTGGTCGTCTTTCTTCAAGCCGGGAGGGCTGGGAGAAGAGCAGGCCGCCGCGCCCGCTGCCGTCCGCCGCTTGCTCCGACCGCCCGTCCCGAGCCCCGGCGGCGCGGGCCGCGGCGGGGACAAAACGCCAGGACACGGCGCGGACTGTGCGCTCGGGCGAGCGCCCCGCCCGGCGCGCAGGGGCTTTCCCCGTGACGCGCCGGAAGCGCTGCCCATATATGGGCCTATCGGGCCCTGTGACGCCAGCGCGGTCTCCGGGCAGATTCCGGGAACCCCCTCCCCCGCTCTGCCGGGCAGGGCCGCGGCGCCGGGAAGGGGGCCGGGATTTTCCCGGGCGGCCGGCTCTCCCGGCGCGGAAAGCCCCAGGCCCGGGTCCAGCGCGCCGCGGCGGGAGGGCTGCGCGCTGCTGCCCTGGAGCCGCCCAGCGGCTTTCAGCAGGCCGGCGCCCGAGCTGCGCCGCGCCCACGCCCCCTCCCCGGACCCGACCCTGGCGGAGAGTGACTGCGGCCTCCCTGTTAGCTGCCGACGCCGGCAGGGCAACTCCCGCCAGGAAGGGCGGTGCCCGCCTGCCAGTGTCCCCCTCCCTTGTGCCAGGCCAGAAGCCGGCGACTGCCAGGTCTGGTCCTGTCCGGGCAGTTGTTTGGGCAGCTGGTGCCGCCACAGCCCGCTCCCCCGCGGCTGAGGTGGAAGTTCAAAGCTGCTGGTTGCTGGTGGCATCTGGCTGGAAGCTGGAAGACCGCAGCTCAGAGAAAACCGTACCACTCAGCTGGTACCAAGGAATAAAGTGAACCGGCCTCAACCCTGGCTATAGGCTACATAGTAAGTCTCTCTCTCAAAACAAAACGAACAGAACCCGAGCCCAACCAAACAAAACTCTGAGACAACTTGGGCCACACTGCAGATAGAAAAATAAATAAATAAATAAGCAGACAGGAGTAGGTGTGATGTGATGGCATAGCAGGTAAAGGCGCTCGCCACCAAGCCTGAGTGCCTGAGTTTGATCTCTGGGTCCAGGGGAAGAATCACCCACCTTCAATTGCCTTCCAGCACACACACACACACTCATATTTTTCTAAAAGATGTATTTTGTGTATGAATTCTGTGTCTGTATGTACACCTGCATACCAGGAGGGATTAGATTCCATGAGAGGTGGTTGTGAGCCATCATACGGTTGCTGGATTTGAACTCAGGGCCTCTGGAAGAGTAGCTCTTAGCTGCTGACCCACCTCTCCAGCCTATGCTCAGGAGTTAAGGGCATGTACCACTGCTATTTCAGAGCTTTTAAGTTTGCTTTTCTGGCTTACAAACCCCTCTAACTCGAGTTTCAGGGTATGCAATGCCCTCTCCTGGCTTCCACAGGCACTGCATTCTCACAAGCACAACAAAACCACAGCTTTTCTCTCTCTCTCTCTCTCTCTCTGTTTCTCTGTGTAGCCGTGGCTGTTCTGGACTCGCTTTGTAGACTAGCTGTCATCTAACCACAGCAATACATTTGCCTCTGCTTCGCCGAGTGCTGGGACTAAGGGCTGGGCCACCACGACCGACTGACACTCTGTTTTTTTTAAGTGAGCTAGGTTATGGAGTATCAGCTCAGGGGGCCTGCTGGAGCAGGGCAGGCTACATGATGTACAGAGTGTGTGTCAACTTTGCAACAGATCTGGTAGTGTGGAGACCCTGAACAAAACAGTTTGGGTCAGAGGGAACAAAGTCATCTGAACAGCCCAAAGAGTGTACCTGAAATGGAATGAACCACAGTGGGTGGATGACCTCAAGGGAGGCCCAACCAGGGGCTTTGAGAATACACTAAATTCCAAGTGTGGGACTCGTGGTGGAGGGCTTACATGCTGTTCAAGCGGCCCTGGATTCCATCTCTAGCAGGGGTAAAAAGAGGGGACATGATTCCAAAGGGGATGAATGGCTTCCAGAAGGTATTAATACTAGGACCCCAAAATAAGTGAGCTGACAAATACAGGCACTAAGATACACAAGTAAAAGCTCAGCTGAGGCTGAAGGAATGATAGGTTGAGGACTCTGGTGTCAAAACATAAATAAAAACAAATGCCTAGATCCCTGTTTTGTGAAATGAGAGTAGAACTCAGAATGGCAACACCACTGGAGTACATGGAGTCAACAAACCCCTGAAGCCTAACCACACCCTTCTGCCCGAGGAGGCAAACACACAGCTCCTCTCAGTGAAGCCCTGCTGGCTCAGAACCTTGGTCTCACTCTCATGCCCAAAGTACTGGAAGGAAATGGGCCAGAACCTAGAACTTCACATCCGCGAACTCACATGGTGATGTTAGTTTTTATTCCCACCCAATGAGGAGACTCTGTGACGATCATAGCTGTTAAAAAGTGTTTTATGGCTGGGCAGTGGTGGCTCACACCTTTAATCCCAGCACTTGGAAGGCAGAGGCAGGAGATCTCTGAGTTCGAGGCCAGCCTGGTCTAGAGAGTGAGTTCCAGGACAGCCAAAGCTACAAGAGTGTCTAGAGGAAAAACCCTGTCTGGAAAAAAATAACAACAACAAAAAAGTCTTATGGCTGATGGCAAGATGTGGGCCTAGTCTAGAGAGACAGGGTCCAGGGGAAGTAAACTGCCGACCACTATTTTGGTTGCTTGTTTGAAAAGATATTTTATGTCTGTACCTGTTCTGCCTGTGGAATTGTGCACGCCTGGTGCGGCAGGACAAGAAAAGGGTGTTGGAACTGGAGTTAAGGAAGGTTGTAAGCCACCACGTAAGTGCTGGGAATGGAACGAGGGTCTTCTGCAAGAGCAGCAGCTGCTCTTAACTGCTAAACCATCTCTCTAGCCTCATTACTTATTTGGTGTTGTCGCCCTCCGTGTCCCCCCACCCATCATGTCCCACCACTCTCAGGCCATGGAGTAATAGAGCACTGAATAGTGAATGCGATAATGCCTCCACCTGGTGGTGAAGAGAAGTAATTACAGGGTGAATAGCAGGAGCAAAAGTGTGAAGACGACTGGCGTCAACTGCTACCTAGCACACCACCAGACTTACACTGTCCCTAATACTTTATTGGTTTCCCTGGACCTGCACACAGCTGGGTGGGCTCAGGGCAGGGGTGGGTGGGTAATGAGCTAGCCTTGGCCCGGCCTCCAGCCCCTTCACAGTGTGTGGAGGAAGGCCTGGCCTTTTCCGGGCCAGCACAGGAGATCCAGGCAGGGGCACAGGCGAGAGCCAAGACTTGAGGCTCACAGGCGTTTCGCCGTCTCAGTTGTGCTTGGAGAAGTATTCCTTGCTGTCATCCACATTGGGCTTGATGGTGTCACTGCCGGGCTTCCAGCCAGCAGGACAGACTAGAAAAACACACAAGGATGAACACGTGAGGCTCAGCTCCACCATCAAGGTCGGGGACAAACAGTCCATATAAGAGCCCAGACTGCACAATGAAAGACTGGAAGCAAAGGCCAGGGTTCCGGACTGCATTGGACAGAAGCCTTCGCTCAGTTCTCTAGCTGACATTTTTCTGTTCCATGGATCCCAGGCTGGCCTTGAACCCATGGTGGTCCTATCTTAGCCTTCTAACTGCTGGGATCACAGATGCATATCACCACGCCCAGCTCCAAATTCTTTCTCTTTATTTTACCTAGAATTTGAGCCTTCGGTCTTGTCCAAGCCAGGCAAGCATTCTATGCCCAGCTGTGGCTCAGCCTTTTTTTTTTTTTTTTTTAAGGGTTTTCTGAGCTAGGTGGCGAATGCCTGCAATCCAAGGGTCAGAAGCAGATCTCTGTGAGTTCAAGGCCAGCATGGTCTACAAAGTGAGTAATCCTGTCTTGAAAAACGGAAATAAACAAACAAATAAATAAATAAATAAATAAAATAAAGCAAGCGGGGAGTTCTGGCTGACCTACAACTTTCTCTAAATCAGGCTAGCCCCAAACATGCACTGGTCCTCCTTCCTCTGCAGCCTGTGTGCTGGGCCTACAGGCGTGTTCCACCACACTTAGCCCAGGCTGGCCTGGAGACCCCCCTGCTCTCCTCCTAAGTGCTGAGATCACACACCCTCTTCAGTTCACCCTCTGTCAACCTTAACCCTGCTAAGCTTTGCACCTGTGGTCAGTGTCCCCTTCCACGCGAGCAGGTGCAGAGACTGGGCTGGAGGTATGGCTCAGTGAGAAAACACTTGTGTATGTTTGAGGCTTTGCTTTGATCCCTAGCATACACACCTACACAAAGAATTTTTAACAGAGGGGAGCACAGTATCTTGTGCCTTTAATCCTAGCACCGGGGAGGTAGAGGGAGGCAGATCTCTCTGAATACAAGGCCACCTCACTCTACACAGCTATCTACTGGCCAACATGCATACTGAAGCCCTTTCTTAAAAGATAAAATAAAAACAGGGGAGGTGTAGACTCTAACCTAACTAAGAATAACTTGGGATGCTTCCTCTTCCTTTTTTTTTTTTTTAACAATTTATTCATCTTATATCCCAATTGTAGGGCCCCCAACTCCTCCCAGTACCACTCTCCTTCCCTCTTCCCCTTATCCCCTTCTCCCAGTCCACTGAAAGGGGGAGTTCTCCCCTATTGCCATCTGCCCATTGCCTGTTAAGTCTCATCAAGGCCATATTGCCAGGGGGAAGTGATCAAAGAGCAGGCAACCGAGTTCATGACAGAGGCAGCCCTTGCTTCCCTTACTCAGGAACCCACATGGAGACTGAACTGCCAATTGGCTACATCTGAGCAGGGGGTCTAGGTTCTCTCTCTGAGTCCTGGGCACTGGGCTCAGGCTTTTTTGGCTTTTTTGGGTCTCCTTGTGGAGCTCCTGTCCCCTCCATGTCCTTCTATCCCCTTCTTCTTCCATAAGACTCTTGGGATGCTTCTTAAATACCCTTTTTTTTCTTTTTCTTTTATTTTTTCTATTGATTGTTTGATTGACTGAGCTAGGTCCTCATGTAGTTTCGGATGACCCTGAAACTCTGACTTTCCTCACGTAGTGCTGGGGTTACAGGTGTGCACCACCATGCCCAGTTTCACGCTGTCCTGGAGACTAAACTCAGGGACATATGAATGGCAAGCCAGCACCCTACAAACTAAGTCAAATTCTGCCTGAAATCCTGTGGGTAAGCCTATTAATGCACTTTTAAAAATCATTTTGTTTTTGTTGTTGCTGTTGAAGAAAAGGTCTCATTCTATATCACAGGCTGGCCCTGACCCTGTTTCAGCCTTCCTCTTGCCTCCGTCTTCCCAGTATTGAGATGACAAGCATGAGTCAGCATACCTAGCTCAAATACCTTCTGTAGACCTCTATCAGCTCCCAACTCTTTACCTTTGTATACTGTGTACCCTGACCCCTGCCCTATCCTAGACATTCCCTGCAAGCAAAGAACTGAATTCTGTATGGGGCTTTTTATTTTTTTAATTTTATGTGTTTGTTTTGTGTGTGTGTGTGTGTGTGTGTGTGTGTGTTTAAAGGTGTGTGCCACAATACTATATTCTATCCATTTGATCACTTCTACCATCAGGACCTAAGAACCTATCTTGATAACAGTCTTTTTATTTATTTTTAATTTTGTGCTGTCTGTGCACCATACATGTGCTTGGTGCCCGAAGAGGTGAGCATTGATGTGGGTGCTGGGACTAGAACCCTTAACCACTGAGCCAACTGTCCAGCCCATCATGTATGTTTATCCATGTACCATGTGGTTTTCTAGTACAGGAGGGCAAAAAAGGGCACCAGATCCCAAGACTGGAATTATAGATGCTTATGAGCCACCATGTAGATGCTGGGAATCCAGCCCTGGCCCTCTGGAAGAACAGCTGCTGAACCATTTCTTCAGCCCTTGTATGGGGCTTTAACATCTATCCCTCAAAGATGTGAGCGCAGACAGTTAGCGCCTGCATGCTGGGCCAAATGCAGAGGAGGGCTCCCATTTGTGAATATCCACTCACCTTCCCCATGCTCATCTGTGTACTGAAAGGCCTGGACTAGGCGGAGAGCCTCATCCACAGATCGTCCCACAGGGAGGTCATTGATTGTGATCTGGCGAAGGATACCCTTGGCATCGATGATAAAGAGGCCCCTGAAGATGGGAAGGTCCACAGTGAGGAGCTGGGAGACGCCCCAGGGTCAGGAACACCCACCCACCACCACAGTGGTCGGCCCCTTTAGCCTGGAGGTAGGTGTCTCAGGGGCTGGGCTGAGGTCCCCACTGTACCTGTAAGCAATGCCCTCATCATTTTTCAAAACGCCGTAATTCTGGGACAAGCTTTTTGTCACATCAGCAAGCAGGGGGATGTTCAGGGGGCCCAGGCCTCCCTCCTTCCGTGGGGTGTTGATCCTGAGGGTGAGAGACAGGGTTGTGGCAGGATGCCCAGGACAGCAGAATTCTCCCCTGGGGCCTCCAGTGTGATAAAGGCTGGAGTGGGGGTACTGGAAGCAAGAGATAAAGGCTTAAAACAAGGCTGGGCCACCCCACCCACCACACCCTGGGGATGGCGGTGAAGCTGGGAGGGTGGCCCAGACAAAGCTCCGACTTGGAATGGCTCCACTTGTCTCCGTGGCCCCAGTACCGGGCTGTGGGGACTCCTACATTAAAGTTAGCCAGCGGCAGTGACAGAGCCTGAGGCTTGGAACTGAGCTAGTTCTGAAAGGGGGGGGGGTGTCCCGCCATTATCTAGTTCTGGTCTAGCATCATAACCCATTAAGACTTGGGAACTAGTGTTTTCCCTCCCAGGAAATATGGCAAGGCAGCCTGTCTCCTGAGAACTCGAAGCATCTGCAGTCTCCTGTGCCTTCCAACTTGTGCCAAGTGCGTTACTGTCAGTAAGGGCGTGGTGTCCTGAATTTGTGCTTTCCTCATCCTCTCTGCCCCCCCCCCCCAAGCCCCATACCACGCCAGGTGGGTGAACTGCGAGTCCACAGACACCCCGAGCACCTCGCAGCCCAGCTTTCGGAAGTCCTCGGCATGGTTGCTAAAAGCGATGATCTCCGTGGGGCACACGAAAGTGAAGTCCAGGGGATAGAAAAAGAGGACCACGTACTTCCCTAGGGAAGAGCCGAACGGAGAGAAGTTAGTTCCAGACGTGGCCTCGGTCCCCTCCTGGTCCCCCCCTCCTGGTCCCCCTCCGGCGGCCTCACCTCTGTAGTCAGAAAGCTTGATTTCCTTGAAGGCGCCATCCACCACCGCGGTGGCCGTGAAGTCAGGGGCCGGCTTTCCGATCTGCGCGTCGCCGGAGGCCATGACTGGAAGCAGAGACCCACGCAAAGCTTGTCAGACCCTTTGTCTTGCCTTCCCAAGGTCACCCTTGGGGCTGAGCCTAGACACTGAATCCGAGGGACGCAAGAAGCAGAACTAATATTCACCCTCCTAGTACCAGGTCTGCAAGGCCTCTGGAGTCCCGCCCCCCCAAACAGGCACGAGTGATGGGGTCACCGCTGCTACCCCAATTATGGAGTCAGTCCGAGGGAAGGGAGGGGGACGCGAGCCCCTAGCTCCAGGACTGGATGGCTAGGCCAAGAGCGAGGGAACGAGCTCAGCAATCCGGCCTGCAAGCCAGGAATTGGGCCTTGTTTTCCACCACGCAAGGACAAAGGCGGCCACCATAGAGCATGAAAAACAAAGGCTGCCATCAGGGAGGTAGAGATAGGGCCAGAACCACACCAGTGGGCTCTTCCCGCTGTTGTGCATTCTGGGTTTCCATACCTGCGTGGACGCGAGCTGGACACGCGGAAGACCAGACTCCACAGGAAACAGAACAGAGACCTCAGAGCCAAAAGAGCTCTAGGCCCACGAGCCTTTTATGCTCGGTCCAAACCACACTGTGCAGTGAGCGGGGAGGTGGGCGGGACAGCGCCGCGGTCGGATCCATTGTGCCTGCAGAGGGGGACCGCGGGGCCGGTCCACGTGCTTGCACAAGGGTTGGCTGGGGTGTGCCCTTAGGGACGCCGGGATTGTCTGTGCTGTGGGGTCCGCGCGGGCCTGGCCCCGGGAGCGCGCTGGGGTCGGTTGGAGTCCGGGCATGGCCCGGAGCCGCCTGGCTCTGCTGCTGCCAGCACTGGTGCTCTCAGGTCTGGTGTCCCTTGCCCAGATCTACCCGGACTACCAGTACTTTGGCCAGCTGGGTGAAGGTGACACCTGGGAGCAGCTGAGGCGAAAGGGTAAACCAGCAGGTGGTGGGAGTAAGGATTTGGAAAGCCTCCAAAGGCCTCCCTTGGCCAGCCCGCTACAAACAGACCCTCTTTGGCTGCGTTCAAATCTCTGCTCAGCTCAGCACTGGCGATGTCCCCAGGGACTGGCCACTTTTTTCTGAAAGTGCTGGTTTCTCATCTCTGAGTTGTTTTTGTTTTGTTTTGTTTCAACTTTACTGAAATTTTACTGCTATGCCCCAACAGAGCATCACCTTTTGTTCTCCGCATCTTGCTCTGGTAATATACACTGGCAGTCCGTTGTCGGGAGAGGAGACAATAAACAACCTATAAAACCTAGCGTTAGGAGGGGTGGAGACGGGGTGGAGACAGAGAAACTGTCCAGTCAGCTTGAGAAGCCAGCAAAGGTGTGGTGAAGACGGTAGTGAGCAATACAGCTGGAATGACTAGCAGAGTGAAAATTGCAAAGACTGGGAGTCAGTGTCCCAGCGAGAGGGAACAGCAAGCACAGAGGCCCAGAGGCCTAAGGGAAGAATGGGTAAAGGTAGGTGTCATTTTGCAAAGACCTGCTGAAGAAGGGTGTGAGGCCCCAGCTTTGAGTTCCTCTAGGCAGAAAGAGCTCTGATAAGGGTTGGGGTTGCACTCTTGGCCCAGCATGCGTGGACCCTCCCCCAGAACTGCATACGTCACTAGCATTGCACACCTAGCATTTGGGAGGAGGAGGACTCAGTCGATCCGAAGTCAAAGTCATCAAAGAAATTGGAAGCCAGCTTGGGAGAGATGAGGCTCTGGGGTTTTGTTGTTATTTTGTTTTTAAAAAACAAGAGAGGGGGATACAAAGTGAATAAATTGTAATAAATTAAGCAAACAAACAAACAAAAAGGAGCCATACAGGCATGGTGGCTCACGCCTCCCTCTGGGAGGTAGAGGCAGGAGGATTGCTGTGAGTTGGAGGCCAGCCTGGTCTACAAAGTGAGTTCAGGACAGCCAAGGCTACACAGAGAAATCCTGTCTTGGAAAAAAAAAAAAAAAAAAGGAAAGAAAGAAAGGAGTCCTGTGAATGGGTAGGTCAGTGGCAGTAGAGCACATGACTAGGTGTGTGAGGCCCTGAGTTAAATAGTCTCTTTACATTTAAAGAAAAAAACAAAAACAAAACAACTTGTAGCTGCTCCTAAGCATACAAATTACTTTGTTGCTACAAGTTAGCACAGCACCAGGGGCTTTAAGTACATCCATTATGTCAATTATATCATTTAACTTCCCATCTGTCAGCCCTGCTACTCAGGCGCCACTGGGCCTGCTAGGTAGGCCCATGATCAAGTCCCTGAGGACAAGAGTCAACTTTGGATGTCAGGTGTGCAGGACCAGGAGTCCACACTCCCAGCTGAGCCGGCTAGCAGAGATTAGAGGGGTCGGTTTGTAGCTGTGGCAAACTGTGTCGGTTTGAAAGAGCGGCTTGCTCTCCCTAGACCTCCTGCACAGAGGCACAGTTCTCACTACGCTATTATGCTCCTTATCTTTGTCCCTCCCTGGACAAATCCCTGGTTAAGGGGTTAATTCCCCCACCTGGGTTTTCATGTCCACCCTCCATCTGCAGTAGTGGAAGACTCATTTCTAGGCCCGTGGGGGAAGTGGCGTTGTTTTTGCCATCTGGGTAAACAAGGACGCAGCCGTCAGGTGCTGCGCACAGCACCAGTCCCCATGTTCATGGACCGAGAGAACCTGTTCCAGATGAGGCCATGCCGGCAACAGGATTGTTCATCTTGCTCCCGGACAGACTGCAACTGGAGGGCCTGAGCAGAGGTGAGCCATAGAGGAGGAGGCAGTCAATAGAGAAGCTGGTCAGACTGGCTAGCAGATCCAGGAGTGGGCAGGGAGGCAGTGGGCCGGGAGGTGGTGGTGGCTGGTTTGAGGTGAGTACTGGGGTCCAAAGGCTGCAGCTTGGGGAGCAAGCAGCTGATCTCACACCCAGGAGCCTGACAGCCAGGAAGAAGGCAGGAAAGGCTGGTGGGGGTGAGCCCTGTGGAAGGTTCAGGCCTGTGATTCAAGGCAGAGGCAGGAGAATCAAGAGTTCAAAATCAACCTGGGCTACATAGCAAGGTCAAGGCCATTTAAGGCTACTTGAGATCCTGTCTTAAAAAAAAAAAAAACAACAGAAAAGGAAAGGGTTGAAGATGGTAGCACAAAAGAGGCAGGTGATAGAGGAACCAGGACTTAGAGGGCAGCCATGACTTTGATGAGAAACAAGATTCCACACAAAAGGACATGTGTCTCATTGACCAAGAAAACAACAGAGGAGTGTGGTTGGAGGAGCAGAGGGGTCTGGGAGATGTGGGCTTCCCTACGCTATCAGAAGCAGGGGAGGAGTGGGGGATGGGGAGAGGGCAGGGAGAAGCCTGCATGACCGGTGGTAGAGAAGGCTTTCCTTCAGCAAGATGGCATGGAACAGGTCCTGGAGGCAGCAGTGTCCCTGAGAGCTATTAACCAGAGAGGCTTTGAGGAAATCAGAAGGCCTAAGCCCCGAGGAGTATGGGACACCTGGTACTAGGAGCATAGGAAATGTGTGAGGAGGCACTGTGAGGCAGAGGCAGGTGTACCTCTGTGGTTCAAGGTCAATCTACACAGCAAGTTCTAGGCCAGCCAGGGGGACACAGTGAAAAGGTGGCAAAAAAAAAAAAAAAAAAAAAAGGTGTGGGGAGACATAGCCGTGGCCAGTACAAACCTGAATGGCAGGTAGGAGACCAGTGTTCTGCCAGTGCAAAGATAGCTGACCTTTTAAACTTCCAAAAAGTTCAGATGAGCGTGGGCTGGTAATCCCAACATCAGGGAGGTGGTGGCAGGAGGATTATGAGTAGAAGGTCATACTAGGCCTAGAGAGATCAGCCTAGGCTTTATGAGAAGCCGTCTCAAAAAAAAAAAAAAAGAAAACAAAAAAACACAAAGTCAACTGAACTACATCTTAATTTCTCTTTATACTTCAGTCACTGAGGGCCAGGCTCCAGAGGCCACGGGGCGGAGCTTGCAAAGTGACCCCGCCCGCCCTGGATTTCAAACCACGCCCTTGGTGGTAGCCCTCGAAGACTACAATTCCCAGCAGAAAGCACGGAAGCGACGACCACGCCGACCGCGCCGGCGTGGGCGGCGGGGGCGGGTCCCACGCGCCGATTGGTCAGCATCAAGAGCGGCTTCAGTGTTCTCGGAAAACGCGCGCTGGGGTCTGCGCCTCAAGTATTGTTTTCTACAGTTGTTGGCTGTCGCCGAGGCGGCATGGATCTCACCGAGCTGGAGAGGGACAATACGGGCCGCTGTCGCCTGAGCTCTCCTGTACCCGCCGTATGCCTCAAGGAGCCGTGCGTCTTGGGCGTTGATGAAGCGGGCCGGGGCCCTGTGCTTGGTGCGCCCCGGGGCCGGGGGTGACAAGGGTAGAGGTTGCAGCGGAATGGGAGTGGGATCATGCACGGCCTTGGGATTCGGGAGTGATAGTGGGATGGCCCTGGGCCTAGGTGATGATGGAACAAGGCAGGTGGCTTTCAGGCGCTCACTGGTTGGAACCCTGCTCTCAGAAATCTTGACTTCCCTCCTCCCAAGGCCCCATGGTCTACGCCGTCTGTTACTGCCCCCTGTCCCGCCTGGCAGACCTGGAGGCCCTGAAAGTGGCAGGTGAGGCTGTGCTGAAAGTTTGCACGCGGGGTGCCAGGGTATGTGCGGGAGGGCAGTGGGGGAAGCAGGAACCGAAAGAACTAGCTTCTCCGCTTTTCTTTCAACTTTCTTCTCAGACTCAAAGACCTTGACGGAGAACGAGCGGGAGAGGCTCTTTGCGAAAATGGAGGAGGACGGAGACTTTGTGGGTTGGGCTTTGGATGTTCTGTCTCCAAACCTGATCTCTACCAGCATGCTTGGGCGGTGAGGGGCCCCAGAGTGGGTGGCCGAAGAGCAACGGACACAGGCTGGCTTGTGCTGCAGCTGGGCGGTGTGACTAACCCGTGTCTCTAACCGCAGGGTCAAGTACAACCTGAACTCCCTGTCCCACGATACAGCTGCGGGGCTGATACAGTATGCACTGGATCAGGGTGTGCGTGTCACCCAGGTGAGCTGTTGATAGAAGGCGCTCTGGAAGATTGAAGCTTAGCGTGAAGTCCTGGTTTCCACCCCAGGAGGCTAGAGATAGTGGAGGAGGGTGAAGTGGGACTTCAGGGCATATAGAGATGCTGTCCATGGCTCATGCCTGTTGCAAAAGCATAAGTACAAAGGCCATGGTGGCCTGCGCTCAGAAGGTAGAGACAGGCAGGATTCTGTGTTGCAGACAGACAGGCAGACATAGTGAGGCCCTGTTCAAAACAAGTGTGAAGACCTGAGTGTGAGTCCATAGCATCCAAATGTAAAGCCAGGCTTAATGACACAAACCTTCAGCCCAGGGGCCAGGAAGGATGTTGGTTGAGGTTTTGTTAGCTAGCCAATCCAGCTGAATTGGTGAGCTCTGGGTTTAGTGAAAGACCTTGCCTCAAAAAACAAAACAAAACAAACAAACAAACTAAAGCTAGAGAGATGAGAGGGTCTGCTCTGGGTTAGATTCGAAGTGCCCAAAGAGTGGCTCAGAGGTTAAGAGCACTGGCAGAGTTCAGTTCCCAGCAACCACATGGTGGCTCACAACCATCTGTAATGAGATCTGGTGCCCTCTTCTGTCATGTACATGCAGACAGAACATTGTATACATAATTAAAATAATATAATAATAAAAGTCTAACTCCTGTTCCAGGGCATCCCATGCCCTCCTCTGGCCTCCTCAAGCAATACACCCACACATAAAAATTTTTAAAGAAATTAAAGTGTATATTGATTGTTTAAGAAAAGAAATAGCTGGGTGTGGTGCACGCCTGTAATCCCAGCACTCAAGAGGCAGAGGCAGGTGGAGCTCTGAGTTGTAGGCCAGCCTGGTCTACAAAGTGAGTCCAGGACAGCCAGGGCTACATAGAGAAACCCTGTCTCACCCACCCAACCCCCATAAAAAGAAGAAGAAAACTTCAGGGGCTGTTGAGATGGGAGGCCTGACCTGGGTTTGATCCTTCCATGTGGCAGAAAAAGAACTGATTTCCAAAAGCTGTTCTGTTACTTCCTGCACGCTGTGGAAATACACACCCTCAGTACAACAAATAAATGTCAATTAATTTTTTTTTCTCTTGTTTAGTCATATTTGGGCGTTTTGCCTGCATGTGTGTCTGTGTACCAGATGAGTATCTGGTGTGCACAGAGGCCAAAAGACGGTATGGCTTCCCTGGAACTGGAGTTACCAACAGTTGTGAGCTCCTGTCTGGGTGGTGGGAACTGAACCTGGGTCCTCTGAAAGAGTGTTCATAACCCCTGAGCCATTTCTCTAGCCTTGTTAAAAATAAATAAATGAATGAATGAATGAATGAATGAATGAATGAATGAATGAATGAAATCAGATGGATATGGCCTGACTTGGTAGCTTATACATTTTATCCCAGTTGTTGGTTTAGTTTTGTTGTTGAGACAGGGTCTGACTGTGTATCTCTGGCTGGACTTGAACTCACAGAGATCCAGCTACCTCTGCACCGCCACCCTGGCTTTAAAACTGTTTACTGTAGCCTGGCTCCAGAGCAGCTTTTGAAGAGCAGTGGAGGAAAACCCCTACCCCCTGGCACACCAATACACATGTGTAACCCAGTGCGCATACTTACTCAAGACAGATGGGATCAGAATGAGGGTCAGTGTAGCCGGTTGCAGTGCCGCCTGCACCTGCACCGTAGGACCGGAGCTTACCGCGGCACCACGGTGGGTATTTAAGAACGCCTGAAAGTCTTGCGTTCAGTCCACGGAGAACCGGCTTCCTGAGTTGCCCACTGACTCCCACGGCTTGTCCCTCGTGCGTGCTGTCCCTCGCATCCTGATCTCTGCCTCCTCCATCTTCCAAGTGCTGGGATGACTTGCCTGTGCCACCAAAGCTAGGAATGAGGTCCTGGGGATGGAACCCCGGCTTTGGGCATGCTAGACAAACACTGTACCTCCTGAGCCATATCCCCAGCCCAAGTTTAAGGATTCCCGTGTTGGGTGCTCACTGCCTTGTCCTCAGTCTCTAGGAAAACACAGTGACCACTAATTGCTCAAAGGCAATAACATGATTAGAGAAAGCATATCTTGTTTTAGGCCAGCATTCGTCAACCCGTGTGTCTCGAGCCCTTTGGAGATTATATATCGGATTTCCTTCGTATCAGACATTTACATTATGATTCATAATAGTAGCAGAATTACAGTTACGAAGTAGCAGTGAAATAATCTTATGGTTGGGGGTCACCCCAGCATGGGGAGCTGTATTAAAGAGTTGCAGCACTCAGAAGGTTGAGAACCACCGCTTTAGGCAGTGCTGTATATGAAACAGCTGTCTGCCTATTGGGGGACTCTGCCACTGAGCTAGACTTAATCCTGCCCCATTCAGGGTAAAACACCTACACACATACAATTAAATAGCATTGGGCTGGTGGCTTAGTGGAGTATTTGTGTAGCACGTGAGGCCCTGGGAGTCCTCAGTAGAGTAGGAGTCTGCATATTTTACAGTTGTTTTGCCTGCTGTTTGTTAAATGATTGTATTTCTTCTCCCATGTTTCCGTCACTGGCAGGTATTTGTGGACACTGTAGGAATGCCAGAAACATACCAGGCCCGACTACAACAGCGCTTTCCGGGGCTGGAGGTGACGGTCAAGGCGAAAGCAGACTCCCTCTTCCCTGTGGTCAGTGCTGCCAGCATCTTTGCCAAGGTTAGCATCCTGCTGGCCAGGGCTCACTCCAGCATTTCCCTTGTGTAGGGGCAGGCAAGATTCCTAAGAGGAAGGCAGCTCTGAGCTACTGTCTTGCCTGCAGGTGGCTCGGGACCGGGCTGTGAAGAACTGGCAGTTTGTGGAGAGTTTACAGGATCTGGACTCTGATTATGGCTCAGGCTATCCCAATGGTGAGTTGTGATCCAGGCCCTCTTGGGATGAGCTTTCTTCCCTTTCCTCCTTCAGCCCACTGCATTTCTCTCTCCTTACCCCCTGCAGCATATGCTTGCCTTTAACTTTGTGTGTAGGCCAGGCTGGCCTCTAGCTTTGCTGTTCTTTTCTCTAATTTTTAAAAACTCTTTTTATAATACTCAGGAGGTGAGGTAGCAGAATCTCTGTGAACTTGAGGTGATCCTGGTCTACATAGTGAGCTCCACAGCAATAGCTAAGGCTATGGAGAGAGGCCCTATCCCCCCCACCAAAAAAACAAACAAACAAACAAACAAAAAAATCCCATTTTACATGTATCGATGTTTTGCCAGCTTGTATTTTTGTGCCCCATTTACATGTCTGGTGCCTGCAAAACACATGGTACATATATGTAAAATGTATGTGTGTACATAAATATATATTAAGATTTATTTATTACGTTTATATTCTGCCTGCATGTATGCCTGCAGGCCAGAAGAGGGCACCAGACCTCCTTATAGATGGCTATGGGCCACCGTGTGATCGTTGGGAATTGAACGCCCAGTGCTCTTAACTGCTCTTAACCATCTCTCTAGCCCAAAAGAAAATATTTTTAAAAAGCAAAATGGGGGCTGGAGAGCTGGTTCAGTGGCTACGAGCACTTGCTCTTGCAGAGGACCAGAGTTCACTTCCCAGCACTCACTGGGCAGCTCACAGCTGCTGTATCTCCAGGTCCAGGGGATCCAATCGCCTGCCAGGGCACCCGCACTCACACACACACAGACACACATGTACACATAGTAAAATTTAAAAAAACTAGAAGGAGTGTGGGCCAAGGATTCACTTCATGCTCTCTCCATGACGAGACTCCTTTAGGGGAGGGTAAAGCTCCAGGCCGGCCGCTGCCGGGCCAGGGTGAGGAGTCAGCGCTCAGTGGCAGAGTGAGCTCACCGTGCATAGGGCCTGCATTCCACCCACCGCACAATTTCAAAGAGGAAAAAAAGTTAGGCCCAGCACTGTGGGGCTTTTTCTTTTTAAATCCTCCCAGCAGGAGGGGATAGGATCACAAGTTTGAGGCTAACCTGAACAAGACCCTGTCTCAAACAAAAAACCCAGTGTGGTAGCTTATCCTTGTAGCTTAGGGAGCTGTCTCAGAAGCGCTCCCAAAACTTCTTGAGCACTGGTGGGACACAGGGTCGGGGTGGGGGCCGGACCACACCTGCCTGTGCAACTTAGGAAGTGTCTTGATACACAAGGAGAAGCCAAAGACACCATTAATCTCAGCACTCCGGAGGCAGAGGCAGGCAGACGGGTGGGCAGCCTGGACTACACAGTGGAACTCGGTCTCTGGAAGAAAAGTAGAGGAGCTGCGGTGACTGGCGTGTCACCTGCCGCTCGGGTGCTGTCATTGCCCCCCTCACCCTAGATCCCAAAACGAAAGCCTGGCTGAGGAAGCACGTGGACCCTGTGTTCGGCTTCCCCCAGTTCGTCCGCTTCAGCTGGAGCACAGCCCAGGCCATCCTGGAGAAGGAGGCAGAAGGCATCACCTGGTTCGTAGCTGAGAGCACAGCGGAGGGGTCATTCGCTTAGCCCAGTGGAAAGTGGCTGGGGTCACTCCTCTCTCTCACAGGGAGGACTCCGCACCTGAGGAGGACCCTGAGCAACCTGGAAGGATCACGTCCTACTTCAGCCAGGGCCCTCAGGCCTGCCGCCCTCGGGCCCCCCACAGATACTTCCAGGAGCGAGGTCTGGAGACAGCGAGCAGCCTCTAGAAGCAGTGTGTGTACCTGCCCCTCTTTGCCAGGAATTAAAGCCATTCAAGAAGTGAATGGTGTGCTTTGTGGCCTAGGGCCGATAGCAGTACAGCTATGGCTAGCAGCTGATTCATCAAACAGAACACGAGTTTCTAGATGCTGTAGCTTGATTTTTTTTTTTTTTTTTGTTTTTTTTTTTTTTTGTTTAAAGCAAGGTCTCACTGTAGCCCTACTTTACTGGAACTCACCATGTAGACCAGGTTAGCCTTGAACTCACAGTGACCCACCTGCCACTGCCTCTCAAGTGCTGAGATTAAAGGTGTGTACCACCATGCCCTCCTTTTCTTTTTTCTTTTTTAAAATTATCTTTGGGTTTGTGTGAGCATATACACATAGTTGTATGCACGGGTGAATGCAGGTGCTTTTGAAGGCCGTAAAAGCCCTGGAGCTGGAGTTAGAGACAGTGAAGGCCTCCTCTCTGTGGGTGCTGAGATCTGACCTCACTGTATGGCTCAAATCCATCTCTCACTCCAGTTGCCAGGGGATCCGATGCCCTCTTCTGGCCTTTTAAAAAGATTTATTTAGCACTGGGTGGCGGTGGCTCATATCTTTACTTCCATCACGCAGGAGGCAGAGGCAGGTGGATCTCTGTGATTTCGAGCCAGCCTGCTCTACAGAGTGAGTTCCAGGACAGCCAGGGCAACACAGAGAAGCCCCGTCTCAAAAAAAGATGCCTGTGTGCACGTTTATATATGCAGTACTCGAAGAAGCCAGAAGAGGGCACCAGATCTGCTGCAACAGGAGATAGGGGTGGTTTTGAGCCCGTGTAGTCAGGTCCTCTGGGAGAGCATCATTAACCACGGAGCCATCTCTCCAGCCCTCCTTTTTTTTTGGTGCTGTTGTGGTGGTGCTACATGGTGCTAGATGCTGACTACATAATCAATTGGGGCTACATAATGAGACCCTGACTCAATAAATCAAAAACAGAAACTGTTACTACATTTATTTACTTATATGGGGAAGAGGGACACAAGTGCCACAACGAACATGGAAGTCAAGAGGACAACTTGCAGGATCTGTGTCTTTTGCTAACATGTGAATTCTGGAGATGGAACCTAAGTTGTCGGGATTGGCCTGCTATGCCATATTGCTGGTCTCTCTGTCTTCCCTTCCTCTCCCCCTCTGAGACTACTATCATTTTTGGCAATTTTCCCCAACCATTTCCCCAAGCAGCATCCACACCTTATAGCATGGTCTAGGCTGGTAACTATCCCGAGAAAGAGCAAAGTAAGTGAGAGCTGGGTCATTTCTAGGATAACGGGTAGAAAGGCCTGTCTAGGCAACATGCCGAGGCGTCGTTTGGGAGGTGAGAGTGAAACATCTACTCAGGGCTGTCGCCGCTGCCGCTGCCGCTCCCACTGCCTGCAGCATTGGAGATCCAGGAGCGAGGGTGGCGAGTTCGTGGAGCAGAGATGGAGATGTTGAGGCAGTGATGGGAGCCGGGAGCCGCCACCGGCAGGGCTTGACCCAGAACAGAGTGACACAGGTCTGTGGCATTGTCGAAGGTCTAGGAGAAAGGATGGGTCGGGGTTCGAGAGTGTGGAACCTGAGTCACCAGGTGAGTTCTGGTCCAGGGCATGGACTGAGCACTGGGAAGGTCTGGGCGTTACTTTGAGGGGGTGGTCAGCCGGGGAGGGAGGGAAAGAGGGGGTCCAGGCTGGCTGAGAGTACTTGGAAGGAGTATGGAGTATGAGCCTAGGAGTTCAGATAGGCCAAGACAGGACTAGGTACTTGGCTACAGAGATGGTTTAGCTGGGAAAAGCACTGGCTGCTCTTATGGAGGACCCAGCCTAGGTTCCCGGCACTCATGTGGTAGTTCACAACCATAATTCCAAACCTAGGGCAGAGCACACTACTGACCTCCAGGCACTTAGCTGGAGCACATGCAGGCAGGCAAAGCACACACACAGAACAAAAACAAATCTTTAAAAAACAGATTAGCCAGATGTGGTAGCCCACACCTTTAGAGGGATTACTCTCAGCACAGGGGAGACAGAGGTAAGCAGATCTTAGAGTTCAAGGTCAGCCTGGTACAAGTAGTGAATTTCAGGATAGCAAGAGCTATGAAGAGAGTCCCTATCTAAAAAATAGCAACTGATTAAATTAAAATGGAAAGACATCAGGAACCCAGGTAGTGTCAAATGTCAGCAATCCAGACCTTATTCAAGACCCAGGTCCTCCTCTCACCCTCCGTTCCTTACCTCCCCGTAGGTACGGCAGCTGGCCTCGCAGCCTCTCTTTCCAGAGGGTTGCAGCCAAGTTGGGCCACAGGTAAAATCTTCTTTGCAGGTGGTGAACCTAGGTATGTGAGAAGGGAACACTGATTCAGGGTTTGGAGCTAACAGGCTTCTAAAGAAAGATGACCCTCTCTCAGGCCAAGACCTGGCCTCAAAGGCCCAATGTTTGCAGAGTTCATGTCTTCCCAGGCTTACTGTGTTGTTTGTTTTTTGGTTTTTATGTGACAGAGCTGAAGCTAGTCTAGAAGTTATTTTGTATTTAAGGATGACCTTGAACTGATCCTCTTTCCCAGCTACGTGTGTTACAGACCATCACTACCACCACAAACCTCTTCCTCTTTGAAGTTTGTTTATATTTATTTACTTATTTGTTTACAGGTGTGTGTGTGTGTGTCAGATTCCTTGGAGCAAAAGTTACAGGCGAGGTTGTAAACAGCCTGATACAGGTGCTCAGAATTGAACTCATATCTTCTGCAAGAGCAGTGAGCACTCTTGTTGGGATCAAACAAATGAGACTTATCCTAAGTACTGCCATTTTGTTTGTAGACTCCATTTTGATCAAAAGTTCAAGCTCCTAGGCTCTAGGGGAGCTTTCCAGATGGCTAGCCAATTCCCTGTTCTGTTGTTTTCCAAAACATTAATGATTGTTCCTAAGCATGAAAAAACAACAAACGATTCTGACTAATGGAAGATTGTAACTGTAGCTTGCCACAGGTGTTCGTGGTTTTCAAGCTTAAAAGCTCTATAGCGTTCTGGCTTGGTGGGGGAGGGCGCCGTCGAAGTCCAGCTTCCAAGTCTGGTCTTCGCCCCTAATCTATCAGTAGCAGCTCCATTACAAGAAAACTTTGTCATTGTCATCTGCTTAAATATTTACTAAGATGAACCTGGAGGACACAGTCAGCGCTTGAGTCTGCTGTTGTCCCTGACTGGCCAGTTTTTGCTGTCTAATTGAAATAAAGATCTTACTTTGCATGGGCCTGCATGGATTGTTTTGGATTTTCGGACCCTAACGCTCTTAACTGCTAAATCATCTCTCCAGCCCCAACCCCTTTTATTTTTCAAGATGATTTATTTTATGTGCATTGGTGTTTTGCCTGCATGTATGTCTATTAAAAGGGTGTCAGATCCACTGGAACTGGAGTTACAGATAGTTGTGAGCTGCCATATTTGTACTGGGAGTTGAAACCGGGTTCTCTGGAAGAGTAGCCAGTGCTCTTACACACTGAGCCATCTCTCCAGCCCCAAATAATTTTTTTGATGGGGGACAATTTGTTCAAGATGGAGTTTCTTTGTGTAGCCCTGGCTGTCCTGGAACTCACTCTGTAGAGCAGGGCGGCCTCAACTCACAGAGATGCACCTGCCTCTGTCCTGAGTGCTGGGACTTAAGGTCTGTACCATTACACCTGTTACCACCCACATATATGGAGTTGGTTTGTTGATTTTGTTTGTGTTTTTCTGAGACAGGGTTTCTCTGTGTAGCCCTGGCTGCCCTGGAACTCACTGTGTAGACCAGGCTGGCCCCAACTCAGAGCTCCTCTAGGAGGCAAACACATCTCTAGCAGACCTCGCCCTTCCCACACTCCCTCTTCACTTTCCTAAAGCTAGCCACCAAGATCTGTTCCCTTACTTGGCCACTTCCTTCTCCCGAGTCTGACTACCAAAATCCAGCTATTGAAGTGCTGAAGTCCTGCAATCAAAAGCCCCCTTTGGCTCACATAATTAACTGTTCAATCAAAACAAACAACCTTATCCTAACACTAGAATCCCTTTTTCTCTATAAACCGCCATTTGCCTACCAGCCACATCTGCCTCCTCCGGATCCAGAGGCAGTCCTTTGTCCCTCCAGGGTAAATATCTCCCCAGCCCTTTTCCTCCCCTCTTCCTTGTTCCCCTTTCCTCCTTCCTCGTCTTGTCTCCTGTCTTTGTTTCTTACTCGCTGCCCTTTTCCCCTCTGGGGCAAGTAAATCTTTGTACTGAGAACCTGGTCTTGGGGTGCCTGTACCGACTTTGAGGTCCTTTTGGGTTCACTGTGTCTGCCTCCTGAGCGGTGGGATTGAAGCCGTGTGTCGCCACCACCAGACTTAAAATTATTTTTAATTATGTGTGTTTGTCTGCTGTGTGCACACTAGGTCCTGGGGGAGTTCTGAACCGGGTCCCCTGGAGCTGGAGTTAAGACGGCTGTGAGCCTGACGTGGGTGCTGGGACCTGAACTCTGGTCCTCTGAAGGAGCAGAAAGCACTCATAATGGCCGAGCGGCTGAGCCATCTCTAGCCCAGATAACTTAGTCATCGTGACCAGCTCCTGGCGTTCCTTCCTCTTTGAGTGAAAAGCCCGAACCTTTGGGAACTTCTTGTCTCTCAGAGCCACACCTTCACCTTGTCTTAAATACCGTCATTCTCAGACTTCTCCCCGTTCTACCTTCCCAAACTGAGGCGCCCCTCCCCCACCCCTACTCCCGCCTCCCTTACCAAATCTGGCAGACCTCTGGGCAGAGATGCTGCGTCCCGCGAACCCTCAGCAGCAGCGGGTGGAGTCGATTGCGGAGGGCGCGTTGAAGGTGTCCCAGGAAGAATTCACATCTGTACCAGGAGAGACAGGGCAGGAACAGCAGGGAACTCAGGGAGAGCTAAGGACCCCAGGCTAGGGCAAGTAAGGCAAAGGACAGGGGACAGGCCCAAAGAGGGCAGCGTACTCACTCCGGGCTTGGTGCCCCGCAGCTCTCTAGAAGGCTCCGTGGGCCTGCTGCCTCTCTGTCTATCTGTGCCGTGCAGCAAGCTTCTGGCACTGACCGTGTCTGTGAACCAGGGCCTTGGATCCTCGGGTCAGGTGGCGGGACTGAGAGCCGAGGGTGCCCTGACAGCGGGAACTTTTATCAGTTGCTGCCCCAAAGAGAAAAACCTTAAAGAGATTTCTCTTGAGTTGAACTGCGTGGCATGGGTCTGTAATCCCAGACACTTGAGAGGCTGAGGCAGGGGGATCTCAAATCTGAGACCAGGCCAGTCAACTTAAAGAAATCCTGGCTACAAATAAAAACAAGCCACTGAATAGGGCTAGGAATGTGGCTTAGTGGCATGTGAGGGGCCCTGGGTTCAGTTCCCACTACTGGAGAAACTTTCTGAGAAATGTAGCTTCCAACAGTATTAACTGTGTTTCGCTCATAATAACCAGATTATATTTGTTTCTAGGTGGCAGCGTAAATGTTTATGTTTCTACAGCACATTTCCATTAGAGCTATTCTTTACTACCTGTTAACACATTCTACCACTGAGCTATATCTTCAGCACTATTTATTCTAATTTAAAGTTATATTTGACCAATGTAGTTACTGTGTGTGTGGCGCATGTGCCACAGTGTGTGTGTGTGTGGGGGCTGTCAGAGGACAAGTTGCAGGAGCTGGTTTTCTCCTTTCACCATGTGGGTTCCAGGAATCTGAGTCATATTGTTGGCCTTGGTAGCAGTCCCTTTTACTCACTGAGCCATCTGATCATCGCTGTTTGTTTATCATTCATTCATTTGTTCATACATTCATTCATTTAGATCCTTTGAGACAGGGTTTCTCTGTGTAGCCCTGGCTGTTCCGGAACTCACTCTGTAGGCCAGGCTGTCCTTGAACTCAGAGACCTGCCTGTCTCTGCCTCCCGAGTGCTGGAATCAAAGGTGTGTGTCACTATAGCCCCACTGCCCAGCTCCTATTTGTTTATTTTGAGACAGAGTTTCCTGGAGTCCGGCATGAGCCCCAGCTCCCTGGATAGCAGAGGCTGGCCCTGAAATACTAATCCTCCTACATCTACCTTCTATGTGCTGGCATTACAGGTAGGCACCACCGTGCCTAAGACTCTACCAGGTTCCCTGAACTGACTGAGGGCAACACAGACACCAAAGTATGGACTTGGGATCCGAACCCAGAAGTCTGACAGACCAGCATTCATCGCTAGCCCTAGCCGCCCACCCTCATCGCTACTCTATGCCCCTCTTGAAAGGAAGATCTTTCTTGTGGGGTCTGTGGCTGTTAGGAGCGAGATAGGATACTCACCTGCTAGGTGCAGCTGGCCTGTGCTCACATTGGCTGCCAGCCCAGCGGGCCCCCAGAACCCAGCTTGCAATAGGTGGCCCCTTCCACAGGCCACCAAGAAGATCAGTGCCAGGATGAGTCGCAGGGCCCAGAAGTGGCCTTTGTGGGCCATGTCCACTGGAGACAAGAGCCAGCTGATGTGGAGGGATGAGGTATCACTGTCCTGGAGGCTCAGGTTGGCACTGGTGAGTGCCCACCAGAAATCAGTGCCAGGCAGCACAGAGGATGGGCAACAAGGAGGAAGCCAAGTAAAGCCAATGGCTTGGCGAACCTAGGAGATCTCACCCAAGATCCCCTCCCACCAGACACATCGCTTTCAATCCTCAGGCTGAGACACCACCCCCAGTTTAAGCCACACACGCAACCAATCTCTCACCCTGTTTGCCCTCTGCTACCAACTTCCTTCAGAGTAACAGGACCACCTCAGCTCTTCTAAGCCCCTCTTCCTACCAGGACTCCTCTCCCCCTTCTCCAGCCCCATCCCCCACTCACTCCTTTCACGGTCACCTTCTCTTGGTTTACAATCGGCTTAGGAGCTTCCACCCAGGGCTGGACCTTTAGTACCAAGCTGGGCTGTGGCAGTGTTGGGGTTCTGCCATAGGTTCCAAAAGCTTCTGGGCAGAAGATAAAAGTGTGGAAGACAAGATTCCCACCGCCTTACCCACTGCCACTCATCTGCTGGCAGGCTGGAGTCCAGGGGCCGCTGAGAAACCTCAGGAGCACAGAGCCAAGGCCGGCAAACAGCGGCAACTGAAAGGGGTGTGGTTTGGTTCTGGGGCGGGGCATTCAAAAGCCCCGCCTTCAAGTCCCCAAACAGGGGACTGGTGCATTAACATATTTATATCCACAATTTTTTCTTTTTTAAAAGATTTGTTTATTTGTACATATGAGCCCTTTATTTGCATGTGTGCCTGCATGACAGGAGAGAGCAGATCCCAGTGTAGGTGGTCCTGAGCCACCATGTGGGTGCTGGGAACTGAACTCAGGGCCTCTGGAAGAGCAGACCACTTAACCACTAAACCATCTCTCCAGCCCACATATCCACAAAATTTAAGATCTCTCTCTCTCTCTCTCTCTCTCTCTCGTGTGTGTGTGTGTGTGTGTGTGTGTGATCTGTGGGTGATCCCGAATCTGTGTCTCTCTCTTCTCTGTGTTTGGTGGAGAGGGTAAGCGTCTCTTGGGTAAGCAGTTCTGTGTGTATGCTGGTGCTTTCTCTGCCTTTCGCTAGGCTCTGTAAATCTGTGTCCTTTAGCACTCTCTCTGTGAATTCAACAGACACTCATTAAACACATGCTCTGTACGGGGTTCTGGGATGCACGTATGTACAGGAGGTGACGATCTCAATCTCAGAGAATTGACTTAATTCAATCTGGAGAACCAGGTGGAGGGAAACAGCCTGGGGAAGAAGGCCATGCGTGAGCTGTCATGAGCCTGTGTATGAGCTGTGTTGAGAAAAACGTGTCTATGTATCAGATGGGAACTGTGCACACTGAGCATCCATGGGTTTGGAACTGAGCATGTTGGCATGTTTGTATGTACTTTTGAGTGCATTTGCATTTGATAAGTGCCTCCTACATATGTGTTTGTATGATTGTAGGGTCTGAGTTTTATACACATGTGCTTATGCACATTGTGTGTCTGTCTGCTGGATATTTGCAAATATATACACAGGTTGTATATGACTCTCTTTGCTGATTATGCATTCATAGTTTTCTTCCTTTTTCATATTTTACTATTTTAAATTATTCATAAATGTGTGTTGTGTGTGTGTGTGTTTGTCCACGTGGACCTGTGGATGTGAGTGTAGTCACTGGTCTGAGTCCTCTGATAAGGTCAACTGGAGCTGGCGTTAGCTGGGGTCATGAACTGCCTGACATGGATTCTGGGAACTGCACTCAGGTCCTCTGCCAGTGTGGTACATTCGCTTAACCTCTGAGGTCTCCTCAACTCCTGTGTGTGGTTTTGGAGAACAGGTGGGTCTTTATCTGAGAAGTGTGCACAAAGCATGTGGAAATACTTGCGTCTGTGTTCGAGGAGGATGTATGTGTATGTGCAGGGTTTGTGCACGTATGGACTGAGTATGTGTGCACACGTGTATGTATGTGTGCGCAGAGCATTGTCTCTGGCTGGATTCATAGTTCATATGCATGTTCTTAGAGCACATGCTTCCGTCCTTGAAGAATATGGACACCACTGTCAGAAATGTGTCTTCCTTCTGTAGCAGGGTAAGGCAGGCAATTTTTTTCAAGACTTATTTTAATTATTTTTAGTGTACCTTGGGAGGGGATGTCTGTGCACTTTACTGTAGGTGCCTGAGGGGGTCAGATGTCTCTGATCAGCTGGAGCTGGAGTTATAAGCTGTTGTAAATACCCATTGTGGGTTCTGGGAGCCAAACTCTGGCCCTTTTGCAAGAGAAGCAAGCATTCTTGTTTCTATAAAATTTAAACTATTGTGTGCATAGGTGTTTTGGCTGCGTGTGTGTGTGCATCCTATCTGTACCTGTTGCCCAAGAAGGCTAACAGAAGATATCAGATTCCCTGGTACTGGAGTTATGAATGGTTATAAGCCATCACATGGGTGCTAGGAATCAAACCAGGTCCTCTTGAAAGAGCAGCCAGTGTTCTTGATGAGTTAGGCATCTCTCCAGCTCCAGAGCAAACACTTTTATCTGCTTGGGTTCTCTCCAGCCAAAAGACAGGGGCTGTTTGTGTTGGTTGGTTGGTTTGGTTTAGTTTTGGTTTTAGTGTCTTTTCTTGCTGAAATCCCATATTGCCAAATACTATTCTACACTGGCACACAGTGCGTGTTCAGTAAATGTTGAGTAAGGAAATTAATGATAAGTAATGCTTCCCTTCTGGAAAGATATCCCTGTGTAGCCCAAGCTGGAACTCCTGCCTCTCTACCTTTCTGTGGGCAACAGTGGTATCACAGAGGCCTCAGGAACCTACTCTGACAGAATCCAGATTTTGCCTGGGCTGAACCAAGGTGGTTGTGGGTCATATTTATCCTGTTGATGTGTTTTGCCTCCCGGAAGACCCTGTGCACACACATGCCCTCTGCTTCGGGGTATCCATATTTCAGCACCGTGGACAGCAGCACGAGGCCAGCGCCGTGGACGGCTTTCCCGGCCGCGCCCAGGAGAGAAATACAAGCCGTGGGCGGAGACGAATGCAAGCAATGAGATCCATTGAGATGGCTGCTCTGACGAACAGATTCAGAAAGACAGAGAACAATCACACAGGCAAAGGTGCAGACATGAGCATCAACCAAGGACACACTGACCCAGACCTCGTTGTCGCCTCCGTTGTCCGGCAGAGGTCGCTCTGGTCCGGAGACCCTGCCCTCCAAGACCTTGGGTCAGCTACAGGCTGACCCTAGGAAAACCCTTCCCGTTCTGTCTAGGGCTCAGATGATGTTCTCTCCAACTCTGAGAACCACGTCTGGTCTGGCCTCAGCTGAGCGAGCATTGGGGGCGGAGTAAGAATCGCCTCATCTGCCCCTTTCCCAGCTACCAGCTAATCGCTCTTATAAATATACCCTGACCCGGCCTGAGTCCTTAATCCTGACCATGAGACAGAGAGACTCCGGAGGGCTACAAGCCTGGAGGGACTCTGCCCTGCGGCGGGCCAGCAAGGCGGTCCGTGTGTGGGTACACGTTTTTCTGAGGGGGAAACTCCCATGAGGACCAGCCTCTTGCTTGAACACGTGACTCTGGAAGAATGCATCTGTGGGGATCCGAGGGTGCCCTGGGGTGGAGACAATTTCCCACAGAGAAGAGAATATGCCTTCGAGTGGTCCCTTTCGGGGGGGCGATATCCTCTCCTGGGTCCCCAAAGATGTCACCTACGGGATGGTTGGAGGAACACCTCTTCAGGAAGGGGGAGCTGGGGCGAAGCGTCCCCTCTCAGACACTGGCTCAATCAGTGATTTTCGGGGTGAGGGGGCAGCTCTTCGTAGCGCATCGCACCCTCGTGAGAATGTGTGTCCTGTGGGGGGCCGCTGGTGGCACCGGGAGCCCATCTGCGAGGACAGCTCCCTTGGGCATCTTGCTTGGGTTGGAGGGACGGGGCGCGGGACTGTGTGGATGGAGCCTGCTCCAGCATGCCTCCCCTAGGGACGTCTGGAGGCTCCACCCACCTCACCCCGCTTGGGTCCCCCCGCCCCGCAGCGCGGACAGCGGTGGCCAAAACCCGGCTCCGGCTCCGGCTCCCAGACGCAGTGACGGCGTCGGGCCCGCCCCGCTTCGCTCCGCCCCGCCCCCTCCCCTCCGCCGACCGCCGCCGCGGTCCCCGAGGCTCCTCTCTCCCTCCCTCCTCCCTCCTCCCGCCGCCGCCGCCTCCCTCCTCCCTCCCCCGGACCGAAGTCGCCGCCGCCATGGACGATTCTGGCCTGATCCGCCGCCGGAGGCTGCAGGTACGCCGCAGCCCGGGCTCCGAGGAGGGGATGGGGTCGCTGCCCTGGGCGGGGCCGAGCAGAGCGCAGGAGAACTTGGCGCGGGGTCGGCCGCGGCGCCCCGGGAGCTGCCGGAGGACGCGCCCGGCCGAGCGCGCAGCGCCCGCCAGCCCCGGCCCCGCGGACCCGCCCCTCAGGCGTCGCCCGGGTGTCCCGGAGGCTGCTGGCGGGGCTGCGTCCCAGTGCGCCCCCTCGAGGACAGCCGGGGCGGCGCCCGGCCCGCCGGAGTCCGAGGGAGAGGGGCCAGGTCCTCGCCCAGGAGCTTGGGCAGTCTGGGGGTGAAGGCGCAGCGAGCAAAGTTATTGCCCCAGGGTTCGAACCCCCCGGGGCCGCCGGCGCTGCGGCAGCTGTAAACATGTTTGTTCCTCAGCCTCGCCCCTCACCGCCCCCAGAGCCCTTCCTGGGCTTGCTACCCTGAGTCCTCCATTCACCTGTCTGGCCACTAGGACTCTTCCTGCTGCCCTAATTGGACAGACACCTAGACAGCCTCCCCGCTCTGCATTCCACCCCTTCACTACAATACTCCCAGCGCACGCACACATACACACACACACACACACACACACACACACACGCCCGCGATCCTTAAGTCCAGCCCAGCTTGTGGGTGGGCGGGAGCGATTTTTAGCTCCTTGCTGTCTTCGAAGATGCTGGTCGCAGGCTGCGCAGGCGCAGGAGGCGTGAGTCCACTGCACAGAATGGGATACTGAGGGTTGTTAGAGTAAAGGGAAGGCTGGAACAAATCCAGTCCTCCGGAGTTCCCAGTCCCTAGTGGGGATGCTGAGGCCGAGATGGTCCTCTGAGATTTAGGGCTTGCCTCTCTGAGGTCACAGACTAACCTCATAGGGGAAACGGTCAGGGCCACCCTGAGGCTGGTCCTTTTGAGCCTCCCCAGAGGTCAGCCCCTGCTTGTACTCCAGAGTTTAGAATAAATTAAATATGAGCTCAGTCTCTTGTCCAATTCTAAGCTCCCTTAATGCACTGTTTCCAAGACTAAGACCGTAAGCGATGACCAATCAATCAGTAGAGCCGGGGAGAGAAAATGAGACTCAGACAGTAGGAAGGACATCCCAGGAGGCTGGCTGCTGCTGAAGCAGCCTGGTTGAAAGGCTAATTTGCTTTCAGACAGTCTTCCTTGCTGTCCCTCCTGCTCCCGGGATAGATCAGGAGTGTGAGTCTTGAGTACGGGAGGGAGTTGCGGCAAAGCCGGAGCCTGTACTACAGCAGCTAAGCGGGTCCAAGCAGTGCGCTCCTTCAGAGCAGGCTGGGAGTGGGCGGGGCCTGCACGGGGTGTGTCCCTGTCCCTCGAACCGGCGCCGAATCCCATTGGCTCAGCGCCACGCGGGGACTCTGTCTCTGACGCACGACTCCACCCCCAACCCTCTAGATTACCGCTCACCCTCTTAGCTCAGGTCGCGCTGCACGGCAGGGAATCCCTGTTCTCTCGAACGCGACCACCTCTGCCTTCTGAGCTAGCCGACCACTTTAATGTCCACTCACGCGCTCCGGTTCCACCGCTAAGCAAAGGTCCCATTATCCCTCAGCACCAGAGTCGCCTGTGTGCAGTTAGGATCTCAAAGAAGAGCTGATTGTCCTGCCACAGCGCCCTACAGGGAGAAGCGGAATCTCTCTGTAGCTTGTGTGTGTGTGTGTTGGAGTTGTCTAACCTGACTTCAAGAATCTAAATCTCCATCTTTCTTTTAATTAAAACTTTTTTTTTTTTTGAGATAGCATCTCACTGTGTAGCTCTGTCTATCCAAGAACTAAATTATATTGTCCCGGCTGGCCTCGAACTCAAAAAGATTCCCCTGACTCTGCCTCCCGAATACAGAGAGGATCTAAATTTTCGCAGCTCTGGTTTGTTTCTTTTCTCCACTCTGGAGCGTTTACCGGGAGCTTGCAAATGAGGCCCGTTCGTGGACCTTTTTTCGGTGGTATTTAAAGATTTCTTAAGGCTATCTTTCATGTTCAGTTACAAAAGCCTGGAGCCGTTGGCTCCGTGGCTGAAAAGTCCAGGTCTTGGTTTCCCTAGGTCCATTAAAACTGCTTAGCCTGGTAAGCCAAGACCGTTTCACCCTAACCCTGCCATTCCAAGACAGAAAATCTGGTCTGGGTTTCTGGTCACTGTGGCTCCCCAGGGCAAGGTTGTTCTTTGACCCTGCCCTGTCTGTATGGCTTTTGCTCAGTGGTAGGAACCGCAGAACCTTTTCCTGCTTCATGGCATGCCTATTAATAACTCTTAGAACTTACGACTTGAACATTTTTTTACATTTAAATTTTTGTAATTAAAAAATTTTATTACTATTTTTAAATTTATGTGTAAGGATGTTTTAACTGTGTGTGTGTCTGTGTACTACACGTGAGCAGAGTCCATTGAGGCCAGAAGAGGGCATCAGACCCCCTATAACTGGAATTTCAGACAGCTGTGGGCTGCCATGGGATACTGGAAATTGAATCCTGGGCAAGAGCAGTCAGTGCTCTAAACCACTGAGCAGCCTCTCCAGCCCCTAGTGTGTGTGTGTGTGTGTGTGTGTGTGTGTGTGTGTGTGTGTGTGTACAACTTTTAACTTTTAGGAGTGAGTTCTGCCCTACTTGTGGCTCCTGGGGCTGGAACGCTAGTGATCAGGCTTGTTGGAAAATGCCATTAGGAGCTGAGTCATCTCTTCTGCCCTGACTTGTTACATGAGCATTTACCAAGTGCCAGGTGCCCACCTAAAATGCTAGAAACCTGCATCACCTCACAGAATCCTCCAGTAGAAAGTGACACTTGGGAAGGTCATTTGCCAAGATCAAAAAGGGCAAATTTGGGAAAGCTAAACTTTTTCTCTGAGAGTACATTTCTTTTTGTTGTTTCTACACATGTATGTATGTATCTGGTGTGCACACATGATTATATGTGTGTTCACGTGTGTGAACACATATGGGTGGAGGCCATGAGAATGTGTGTGGAGGCCAGAGAATGGTAGCCGCCGTCTTCCTCCACTTTTCTCCTCTTTATTTGCTGATTCGGGGTCTCTAGGAGCCCAGAGCTTGCTAACATGGTCAGCCTGTCCTGGAAATCCCCTTTCTCCACCTCCGCCCCAGCACTCATTCCAGGAGCGCCCTCGTGCTCATCCAGCATTTGAACTGAGGGTTGGAACGCTGGTTCTTAAACTTATCCATTAAGTTCTTTATCCACTGAGATGTCTTTCTCACATCAAAACATGATTTTTTTTCTCTCTCTCTCTGTCAAAAGA